AGCATGGGAGGTATCCATCCACTGGCTTTCTGGCTTTGGTTCTCAGCTTGTACTTGTGTGATGAGGTAGGTTCAAGAAACAGATATGATAATTCATTGCTACACCATTCATTATTGGCCCATTGGTTGTACATGAGAGCATAGATATCATTTCCAGCTTAAGCATTACCACGAGGGATCTTTACCATCTGGTTATTTCTAGAGCAGAATTACCTAAATACCATTAAACTAGCTGGGACAATATCCCTTATTTAGATTTGACAATCACAGATAGACAATCTGTGATTGTATTTGGAAGGCCTCATAGGGAATTGAATTTGGAAGGTCTCATCAGGAACTGGCAGTTGCCCCTAGGCTGGATGACCCATGTACTAATGAGAAGTGAATGAATTAAAAAGGTGTGGAGGTTGGAGCATTAAAATGAGAACCAAATTTTACATTGCAGCCGTTCCCCAACTGTCTGTGAATGGTACTCCTGGAGAATTGATCTATGATCATACAAATGTGTGTATTAATAATCATAAAACTGACCTCAAAGCGAGTGATGCTATCTTCAGTCATTATGCAAATGTACTGTTAAGGCTTGGGAAACCTGTAGGACATTTTTACCAATGAAAATGCTATGTCCAGATGAATAGAGTTAACTTACCAAGATTTCCATACACAGATGATTGAGGATGCATCAAGACATAAGTTTTTGAGGCTTTTACTTTTAGAGTCCTTTCCTCCAAGGAAATTAGGGGACCAAGGGACTTGCCTCCCTTATCCTTGGTCCCCTAATAATACCTTTTTTAAGAGCAATGCAGAACACATTAGTGGGGGGATAAGCTCACTCTTTACACTGATGCATAAATCAGTTATTTATTATAGTTTTATACTGTTACTGTATTTGCATGTTGAAGTGTTTGTTTCTTGGCCTTTCCTATTGCCTTGATAAGGCCCTTGGTATAAGAAAATTCCAGGGGATGGTGAGGGTGCTAGTAGTAGAATTTATGACAAGTACTGACAATCCTAACTTACACAGACTGTATTTTTATTTTTGGTTTTAATAAAATATACTTAAAAAAGAAAAAAAGAAAAATGGAATGGCAAATTGCCTACACTGCATTAAGCTAAAGCACAGGTGTCAAACTCAAGGCCTCGAGGGCCGGTGTCCTGCAGGTTTTGGATGTGTCCTTAATCCAACACAGCTGATTTAAATGGCTAAATTACCTCCTTAACATGTCTTGGGGTTCTCCAGAAGCCTGTTAATGAATTAATCATTTGAATAGGGTGTGTTGACCCAGGGTGATATCTAAAACCTGCAGAACACCGGCCCTCGAGGCCTGGAGTTCAACACCCCTGAGCTAAAGCATGTTAATGAAATCTGTAGTGTCTATAATCTATAATTATTTTATGTTAATTTCATTTGTGATTAATAATCCACATTTTTGTGTCTTCAGGTTAGTGTGTTTGGATTTGGAGCAGACAAGAATGGAAACTGGAATCATTACTATGAGCAAATCAGAAACACACGTCTGAAAACTGGACAACATGCTGGAAGGGTGGAATATCAATATATCGAGAAACTTCATAAGCAACGGAAAATTCATTTTTTCAGAGGATGGTAATCTGGCTTTTGGTGTCTCTCAGGGGCATTAAGATAAGCAGCCCCCAGAACTGTAGAATTAAAATACTTAAGAATAGTAGATCTAAAAAGAAAAAAAAATGTGTAGTTTTGTTCATTAGTTGTGTGTTGGTTATCAGAGATTACTTATTTTTGGAAGTGTTAACATACAATAAAGTCCCTTCAGTATACCACCATACAAAATATGTTGTCCATTTTGTTCATAAAACAGTTTTCCTCCCCTTCTGCAACTTATTCTTCAGCATATTTTGTCCAGTATATCCACT